GGAAGAAGAAAGAAGGGGAGGGAGAAAGGAAGGGAGGAGAAAGAAGGAAAGGAAGGATGGAACTAAGGGGAGGGAGAGAGGGAAGGAAGGGGAAAGAAGGAAAGGGGAAAGGAAGAAGGGAAAGAGAGGGAGGGAAGGAGAGAGGCCTTGTATTATACACCAAGCGCTGTACTAAGCTCTCCAAATACAGACATGTCCTCAGGAAGTTTCTATTTTAAAAGAAAGGGGGGTACAGAATAAATGGAAGGGGTGGCCAGGGAGGAGGACTTGGGTTGGGAAAATCACAGGGATATTGAGTGGAGCCTTGAGGGGGTCAAGGGTCACGACCTTTCCAAGACCAAGTGCTGTATTGATTGAATTTTGGTTCCAGAGCTGGAGAGTCAGTGGGGTGGGAAGGGTGCAGGGGCAGAGGCTATGCCAGTGGCCACAGGGCAGCCAGGGGAAAATCCCTGAGCACGAAAGGGAAGCCCAGCTGGGGTCAACCTGGATATCTTGGGCCATGAGAGGCCCAAGGATGGGCCCTCCAGAGCATGGAGTCCAGTGTAGGCAGCAAGGATGGTAGAGGTAGAACTGAAGGAAACCTCAGAGCTCATCTAGTCTGAGCCCCCCAATTTACAGATGAGGAAACTTGAGGCCTAGAGAGTGAAAGGACTTGTCTAAGGTCACACAGCTAGTAAGTGGCAGGGCCAGGATTTGAACCCAAATTCTCTGACTACATTCACTGCCCATTTCATGTTCCCTGACTTAGGTTTTGGCCTTGAACCCTGAGTAAGCTGTGGATAGACCCATTTAGAGTCCCCCTGCCCGTTTCCTGGCCTAGCCACTCCTCAGCCTGCAGCCGACTCTGTCCTCTGTTAAACCCTGAGGCATCATCTCCTTGCCCACCAGGGGCTGGTGCAGAAGCTAAAGGCCTCCAGACCTCAGCTGCTGGGCATATCCCAGCCTCCCCCCCCCCCCCCCCAGCCCCCCAGGCCAGAAGAAGCAGCTGCCACCACTCTGGAAACTTAAGAGTTTGCAAAAAAAAAAAAAAAACCTTAGAACCTCACCCTAGCCCTGAGAGGTAGTTCCATAAGCCATTACTTTTCCCAATTTTTTACAGATGGGGAAACTGAGGTTCGGAGTGGCCCAGTGACCTGTCCCAGGGTCACACAGCTAGTAAGTTGCAGAGGCCATTCTGACTCAACCAGTCTCTTAAGCCCTATAGAGAGAAGGGACCTTCTGGCCGGCCCAAAGCCCTTACTGGCTCCCTGCCTCTGGGCCCAGAATAGCCCATCTTCCTTCTCCCCTGGGCCCAAGGCCTCCCAGCCCAGCTGTTCCTGGACAGGTGTGGGGCCAAGAGCCTGGGTGCTCCGAGGAGATGCTGCCCGGGCAGCAGCATTGGGCCAGGCCTGGGCGGGGCCTTCCCCATGCCCTTACTTGGTGTGGATGAAATTCAGTTAGCTGTTTATACAGATGGACATTTTTCAGGCTTTAACACCAAGAGCAGCGTTGCAAATAATTCCCGAGGAGTTTTTGTTTAATTCTTTGTTTTAATGCCTTTCAGAGTCTGGGCTTTTTCAAGGTGTCAGGTCCAAAGAGAGTTCCTTTTGCCTGCAAATAGCGGCAGAATCTTTGTTCTTTTTTTTTTTTCTTTTCTGGGTATTTGTCAGGGGGGTTGTTATGGTCTGCTTGAGTCAACCTGGGCCGCAGACAGAGGGGGGCTCGGCTGTCCAGACTCTGAGATGGTGCAGACATTGGCATGACCCAAGTCTTGAGGGCGATTTCAAATTCCACCAGTTTTTGACTCAATATGGCAAGGTTTGCCCGTCTTACCCAGGCTGGTGGGAGGAGGGCCCTCAGCCTTGGGGGAGGCCAGTACCTCCCACCAGCCCTGCCTCTGGCCTCCTCATGACAGCACCAGGGTATGCTCAGCCCATGCCCACAACCTGAGGGCCCTTCCCATCAGCCACAGGTGGGTTTCTTGGAATCTGGAACCCTGTTCTGAGATACCCTAAGGGCAAGTGAGCAGAGGGGCACTCTTCCCAGGTGATGCATGAGCATGGAGCCATTCACTGAGGCTACACACCCACTCCCCAAAGCCCCTCCATCTATGCAGAGAGCATTGACTAGAGTTAGAGAACACAGGTTCAGATCCCACCTTTGGCACTTACTGTCCCTGTGACCTTGGACGAGTCTCTCTGGGCCTCAGTTTCCTCATCTGTCCAATGAGGGGATTAAAAGTCCCTTCCAGCTGTAGCTCTGTGATCCTCTAAATGGGCTAACCAGTGTTCAAAGGTGACTTTTAACCTCAGCTCTTGATTTGGGGTGTTGCTCTCTGGGCAGTGGTCAGAAGGTCACCTTCCTTTTCTGTGCCTTGGTTTCCTCCTTTATAAAGGGTTGGATTCAGTGGGCCTCCACATTCCCTTCCAGATGGAGCCCTGCAATTGGAATGGGGTTTTACTTTCATGGCCTAGTGTAGGAGGATGGGATGGATGCACCCCTGCTCAAGGTCAGGAGCCAGAGTTAGAGCATCCCAATAGGCCCTAAGAAGGAAGGGAAGAACCTTCCCTTCTGTACTCCCAGAAGGCTTCAGGGCCCACAGCCTTGCCTTGCGGGGGTCCATGCCGTGGCCCAAGGGTAGTGTGAGCTGATCAGGGCCTTACATAACCAGGAACAGGAATCTGAAGGATTCTTCTTCTCTAAGACTAAGAAAATGGTGGTCAGGGTGCACGGATGTTCTCCAGGCTAGAAACTGTAACTAGGGCAGGGCCACTAGGAATTTGCCTAAGGGGTCTGGATTTAAAGGGTGCCCATGGACCTTGTAGGCCTAGAAACAATAGAGCCCTTAGTTGATAAGAATAGTTAAAATAGAAAGCTAGGAGATGGTGGGTCATGGTGAACCATTCCTTCTGCCTCATCCCACTCCCCACACCCATGACTCCAGGGTCTCTGACTGATTTCCTGTCCTGGCCTCTCCATTCCCCATTCATGCTCTCCACAGCTGACAGACTGGTCTTCCTAATGCCATGCCACTTACCTGCTCTAGAAATGTCAATAAATTGCATCGAGAATAAGAGGCGAACGCCCTTGTTTAGCATTTCAAGCCTTTAGACACAATCAGGCTCCCACCTCCCTTTCCAGATTGATTTCCCTCTGCCTCCACGCATCCTGCATTCCTGTCACACTGGCCTCTGTGACTGTTCTCTGTCCATGACTTTCCAGTCTCTGGGTCTTTGTACAGACCCTCTTCCTTGTCAAGAGCCCTCTCCCTTCTCTCCTCCTCCCCTTGGAATTCCAGCCCTTAGCACAGTGCCTGGCACGTAGTAGGTGCTTAATAACTGTTGATTGATTATTGATTATCAGTTCAAGACTCAGCTCTTCAAGGCCTTTTCTGATTCCCCCAGTGTTTAGTGCTGCCCTGCCAACTGCCTCCTACAGTAGTAGGCCTTTGCTCCCAGTTAGTAGAATTCCCACTTCCCAGCATTCCTTTGTATTTGTTCATATGGATCTTTGCAGTCTTCTGGCCTGACTCCCCTCAATACAGTCTACAATTCAACTGCAACTTGGTCCTCTCACATCTCCCGACTCCACACCTTTGCACTGGCTGGCCCCCTGGCCTGGTTGCCCTCCCTCCTCACCTCTGCTTCCTGGCTTTCCTGGCTTCCTTCAAGACCCAGCTCAAATCCCACCTTCTGTGGGCAGCCTTTCCCCCATCTCCCCACTTGGCGAGGCCCTCCTCCCCTCTAAGATTACCTCCCATCTGCTCAGTGTGTATCTTGCCCAAGGTGCCATGCTTGCTTCCCCGGCCTCCCATGCTCTTCCTGATCTCCACTTGTCTTCCTCCCGGGCAGGTGGGCTGCAACAAGGTCTACACGAGCACCTCGGACGTCATGACCCACGAGAACTTCCACAAAAAAAACACTCAGCTCATCAACGATGGCTTCCAGCGCTTCCGGGCCACTGAGGACTGTGGCACTGTGGACTGCCAGTTTTACGGGCAGAAAACCACGCACTTTCATTGCAGGTGAGAGGGAGGGGCATGGAGGGATGCTGGGGGCGGCGGGGCAACACTGGAGCTGCGAGTAATCAGTAGCGACCCAGGGAATGAGAAGGGTCAGGCCGGCTCCCGGTGTCCCCCAGGACCCCGCCCTGTCTTAGGGCCTCGCCTGGGGCTCCTCCTGACCCACAAGCCTCCCGGGGGGTCCCCCAGGGCCTCACCCCGCCTTAGGTCCTCCTCCTGACCCGCAAAACTCCCGGAGCCCCCCGGCATCCCCCGGGGCCCCGCTCTGTTCAGGGGGGTGCCTCTCGGACCCTCCCCTGACCAGCCGCTCCCCCCACTCCCCAGGCGCCCCGGGTGCACGTTCACGTTCAAGAACAAGTGTGACATCGAGAAGCACAAAAGCTACCACATCAAGGACGACGCGTACGCCAAGGACGGCTTTAAGAAGTTCTACAAGTACGAGGAGTGCAAGTACGAGGGCTGCGTGTACAGCAAGGCCACCAACCACTTCCACTGCATCCGCGCCGGCTGCGGCTTCACCTTCACCTCCACCAGCCAGATGACCTCGCACAAGCGCAAGCACGAGCGCCGCCACATCCGCTCGGCGGGGGTGCTGGGGCTGCCGGCCGCGCTGCTGGGCGCCAAGGACAACGAGCTCGAGGAGTCCAGCAACGACGACCTGGTCGACTTCTCGGCCATGAGCAGCAAGAACTCGAGCCTGAGCGCGTCGCCCACCAGCCAGCAGTCGGCCGCCTCCCTGGCGGCGCCCGGCGAGGCCCCGCCGCCCCCCGCCGCGGCCAAGCCGCCCAACAGCAAGATGTCCGGCCTGCTGGCGCAGGCGCTGCCCAGCAACATCCCGCTGGCCCTGGCGCTCTCCAACTCGGGCATGCCGGCCGCGGGGCCCTTCTTCCCCATCCTGCCCGGACGCGTGAGCACCCCGCTGCCCGTGGGCACCCCCGGCCTGATGGGCGCCCTGTCCTCCGGGGCCGGGGCTCCGGACACCCCCACGCCGGCCAGCTCCGGGCCCGGCGACTCCGCCCCGGCTGCCTCCACGTCGTCCCCGGCCCCGGCCGCCTCCATCATGGAGAGGATCTCCGCCAGCAAGGGCCTCATCTCCCCCATGATGGCCAGGCTGGCCGCCGCAGCCCTCAAGCCCTCGACGACGGCTTTCGAAGCAGGTGAGTAGGTGGGATTGGGGCGGGGCAGGCGGGGTCGAGGCCGAGGGTGGAGTTTCTGAGCTGGGGAAGGAAGTCTCAGTGGCGCAGGAGTCTGGGGCTTCTCAGACTTCCCACCTTCCTGGGCCTCAGTTTCCTCATCTGTAAAATGAGAGACTGGGGCTAGATGCCTGCTGAGGTCCCTTCTAGATGAGTGCTTAGCACAGCGCCTGGCACATAGTAGGTACTTAGTAAATGTTTACAGATTCTAGAGCCAGAGCTAAGAGCCCGTGAGCCCAGGAAGGGCCATGAAGGGTCGGTTCTCCAGGGACTCTAGCCAAAGGACTGTAGTCTTGGAGGAAAAGGGTGGGACTGGGGGGGGGGGGTGAGGAAGGTCTGTAAACACACTCTCTGGCCCTTCCCACTATGTCCTCCTTCCCCTGCCCAACCCTGTCTCATCTACCCTCCAAGGAGCTGCGCCTGCCACCTTCTCTCTAGTTCACTTTTCTCACCTGCTGTCTATCTCATCTCATTCATTCATTCGTTCGTTCGTTCGTTCATTCGTAGGGCATTTATTAAGTGTGCAGTGGTGCCTGGTCCTGGCCTTGGCTCTGGCCATATAGAGAGCCAGTGCCACCAATCCCACCCCTACACCCTCAGTTATTGTTCTCCTAATCTATTCCCTTCACCCCACCCCTTCATTTCCTCCCACCATCTTCCTTCCTAACGTTCCCAGGACCCGTGTAGCCGGGAACAGTTCGGTCTGGGCCCCGCGCCAAGCCCTAACCTTTCCCTGAGACCCAACGTGAAACCCCCACGAGGGACAACAGGCCTTCATGCCTGCCTCCCATGTTGTTCCGTGTGGAATTTGGGACAGGATCACCTAAACAGAGTGGTGGGGAGAGGGCAGTGAAAAGTCAGAGTCCTGGGTTCCAATAAGAAATAACCTCCTTCGGACTGTTTCTTATTTTTAAAAGGAGGGTATTGGGCCACGTTCAAATCTGTGATCAATCTTTTGAGTACATGGGCAGGGTTAGGTGGGGCCAGGGGCCTGACGTAGAGGGACAGGTTATGAATACCTGAGTCCCAGAAGGGTGAGGGGTGCTGGGAGCATCAATTAGCTAATCACCTACGAGGTCTTTCCCTAAGAGCCTCGGTCCTCTTGAGGATTCCTTTCCTGCAGGTTCCCCAGGGTTAGGGGACATCCCAAACCATATTAGCTGTTTGACCTCAGGGAGATTCCAGAATATTCCTTATCAGAATAAATTTAAACTAGAAATCAGAGGTCAGACTTCTCAGTGCTTTGATCCTGGAATAAGGCTCACTCTCCCAACGCAAGTATTAGAAAAGATGGGGGAAGGGGGGGTTAAAAGGAAGAAAGCCAACATTAAGCTAGAGGCTAAGAGACCTTTTCATCATTAACGGGTTCTCTAACTGTTCCCTTGCCCTGATGGGACCTGAAGAAACTGGGGTTTTAAGGTTCTTTACAAAAAAAAAAAAAGAAAGAAAGAAAGAGGTTAGGGACATTGGCATTAGAGTGAAGACCAGGGGTCAGAAACAGAGAAATAGGGGGCCAGATGTCCTCTCTTCCTTCTTCCTAGAGGTGTCCTTGCTGTCACTCCAGTGTGATAGAGGGAAGGAGGGTCTGGAAAGGCACCTTGAGGGGAGGTCAGAACCTCAGTTGATTGGTTTTTTTTCCATCTGTATTTTTTGAAGTCCAAACCCAGGATTACTGGGTGGAAACTCTTTTCCATCAATCTAAGAGTGTCATCTGAGGATACTGAATGAATGAATGAATGAGCCTTTATTAAGCACCTATTAGGTACCAGTCACTGATCCAGGAGGCAGAACATACACAGATACGAGGCTCTTCCGGAGCTTACATTCTAATAAGAAGCTAGGACACATTTAGGGCATCAGTAGCCAGGGAGGGGACTCTTGTTCTAGGGAGTCACTGAGAATGTCAGTGACTTGCCCAAGGTCATACAGCTCGTATGTGTCGAAGCCAGGACTTGTACTCAAGTCTTCTTGACTCTCAGGCCAGCTCTCTTTCCTCTCTTCTCTCTAATATTTCATTTTTTCTCCCATTTTCCCCATGGATTTGGCCTGTCTTTTCTGCTCAGTCTTTTTTTCCCTCTCCTTCCCATCTCTCCTTCTGCATTTCCCTCTTTCCTTCCATTCAGAGAGGAGAGGAGATCCTGCTGAGCTGGTCTTGGTAACTAGGTGACCGCTGCCCTCCAGAAAGGTAGACCCTTTCTTCCCCCCAAATCACAGCCACCGGGGGGCATAGAACTGGCCATGACTGAGGTCCCCGAGTGAGGGAGGCCCTGAGATTCCAGGGCCAATCCCTTCTCTGCTGGGCTCCTCATTCCATCCAAGCCAACAAGTTTTTATTACATACCTACTGTGTGCATGGCACTGTTTGAAGCGGGGGATGGGAGGGGGTTACAAAAAGAAAATAAAAATTAGCCCCCATCCTCGAAGACTCAAATCTCCCTTTCACTTCTGTTTTCCTGACCCTGGCCTCTTTTGGGGAGCTGCCAAAGGCATTTGTAGAGCAAGGCCTGGGTCCTTTTCATTGTCCGGGTTTGGATCCCCTCCTGGCTTCAGGTTTCCATAGACAGGATGGACCACTCCACTCATACAAAGTGGCCACAAGCCAGGAACCAAACCCAGAAGGTATCATGGGGCAGTGAATAGCGTCCTGGACTTGGAATCAGGGAGACCTGGGCTCAGATCCTGCCTTGGATATTTAACTAGCTGTGTGACCTTAAACAAGTCTCTCTAGGCCTCAGTTTCCATCCCTGTAAATCGAAGGGGGTGGTCTAGATGGCCTCTGAGGCCCCTTCCGGCTCTACAGCGGTGGTCCTGGGTCTCCACTCACTCCCCCAGCCCCAGCAAAGGCTCAAATGGAGAGCTGTGCCTAGGAGAGAGACCTGTGGGGCAGAACCGCTCCAGCACAGACCCTAGCCCCTTCCCCTAGGTCAGACACCCAAACTTTCCAACACTTAGTTTCATTAGTTTCACCCAAATAGAAAGGTCACCAAGGGAACCATTTTCCTTTATTTTTTAATAAAATGCCACTAGCTGTCTGTGAAACAGTGAGCCGTCAGCTGTAGTGCCTCGGGGTAAATTAATATTTTAGTCACTTGGGGATTGTGGAAGGAAGCTCAGTGGACATGTTTCTGTCAGCAACTTTTCTCTCTGTCCCTTCTTTTCTTCTCCCTCCTTTGTTATCTTCCGCCCCCCACCTCTGGCCCCTCTCGGCGCCCCCCAAATCAGCCTCGGGGGCCCATTCTGACTCCCCCTCAGGCCACACCTCATGCCCCCCTTGTCCGGGCAGCCGGATGGGAGAGAGAGGTCACGCAGTTTGAACCAATCTGATTGGCCGTCAGGTTCGATAGCCCTGACACAGCAGACGTTCTTCCTGGGCATGCCCAGTGGTACTCGGAGCCCGGTCACCACAGCAACGGGGAGCTGGGAATGGGGAAGGGGGTTTGCCTGGCAGTCTCGATGTACCGCTCTGACTCAACATTAACAGAGACTTTAATAAATGCTCAGGCGGCGGCCCCGCAAATTCCTTGTGACAGTTGGTGGAGAAAATGAAGTGGGGTGAGCTCCCCCCACCCACCCACCAAGCCCTGGCTCTCCCCCTCCCTTGCTAGGCTCCCACCCTTCTCCTCCAGGAGGCCCCCTGAGCCCAGACAACTTTTGACATAATTTTGCAATAATTATCACTTGAAGAATTGCCATGCTGGGGTGAGAGTCACAAGTAATCAAGTCAGAGGGGGAGAAACGCTGACCAGCAGCCAGGCCTCCTGGCTGGCCTACCATCCATCCATCCATCCATCCATCCATCCATCCATCCATCCATCCATCC